TCCCCTTGAAGGTATGAGGATTCTCTCTCTGGAAAGTCACCAAACTACGAGATCCAGCATTGCCGTCAGCATTCGGTTGATTCTCCATCGCATGCGCCATTGCTTCTAAAGCAGCAGCAAGTGCATCATCATTCCTTCCAGCCATCTCAACTTATAACTACAACTTAAACAACTGTTAGAACTCAAGGTAACAATACTCTATTGTTGGACAACTACGACTCGACAACATGGTCGGACGGACCAACCTTTTGCTCTGATACCCACTTTGTAACACCCCAATTCTACCCCGCAATTATGAATGTAAATCAGAGTTTTAAAAATTCATACAACTGAATCAGGATGCCACAAATTCAACTTAAAAACACATTGCATTCAACATGGATACATAACACTTCAAAACTTAGGATGAACTATCAGAAAAATAATTTAATCTCTTAATTCAACAACTTAAACATCTACACAGCGAAATCATAATAACATCTTTTTCCATCGTTACAACAACCTCATAATAACACATACTTAACAACAATCAAATTAAAGTTCAACAACCGAAATAATAAATAATTAAAAGCAACAAGTGTTCATCCCCCCGAGTGTTACATATCAGAGCAATGACACCGACTCGAACTACCGAAGGTATACTGCCTTCACTCTTGATTATCTGCACGTTACCAACGTAAGGGTAACATTCAAACAGAAGGGGTGAGATATCTAACAATATAATAACACGTATGATAAATAACATATTAAATTAGATCACATAATATCACCACTTATCATCTTATAAACAATAATTATCGCAACAGAATACCAACAATATACTCATTTACCGCATCAATACACAACTTCTTTATGCCCTCATATAATAAGACTCAATACTATGCAAATGCATGTGGTACCATTGGAGAAGAAATCCCATCTCAAAATAATTGCCAATAAATAGAGGCATCAACAAGGCATAAGCCTTCATCTTAATATTCTCCAATACATGCCGTCTTAATGAGCATCAGCTCCATCTTGATATGCAATGTATGTGACACAATCATGAATGTAGTAACAACAACCATAATTAACAACATCTCAACACAACATCATCGTTGGTCAGAAGCCTACATCTTAATCACTTCCAATTATTAGAAGCATCTCAACATCCTTCATCAACATCATTCATCAACATCATTTATCAACATAATTCATGAACATAATTTACCAACATAATCCACAGCAAGTCAGTCATAACAACAATATAACAACAGATCGACAATCCTTCAATGTTGGCCATAGGCCTCTACATGTTATTATTCTATAATACTACATCATTATCATCATTAATCTTACTGTTATAAACCAGACAATAATCTATGATCATCTTATCCTCATAATACTTCACAAAATCGTCATATCGATTAACGCGGGAAGATAACTCTAATCCTAATTTTGGTACTAGAATTATTCTTCTTATCCTTCATTTTAATCCTTAATAATTAAGTTCATCGCGTTAGCTATACAACGCTTCAAACGGCTCCTCAAACGGAGTCCGGAAACTCAAGTTACAGCCTTTGAAAACGAATCTGTCAAAAATTAGACTACATGAGTCAACGCATAATGTTTTGAGTCGACGCGTACTGGGCTAACATCCTGCATGAGTTGATGCGTAATCCCTTTGTATCGACTCATACTGAGTTTGCAACACTGCATGTATCAATTCATGCTCCTTCGTATCGACTCATCCTGAGTCCAAAAACCTGCATGTATCGATGCATGGCTTTTGAGGTCGACACATATTGTTCTGTCATGAATATTTTCTGCGATTTCACTGCATTTTCACCGCGATTTCCCTGCCTTAGGCCCTAAAAACATCCTCTAATCATAGTTAATCATCAATTATAATAATCCTATGTTTCTACATCAATTATACAACATTAGGGCATCATTATTCATCTCTAAATCATTGATCTTCATCATACAACAATATATACATTCCAATCATAAACAAGATAACTTTTCACATCTAATCCTACATACCACTCATGATAACCCTATTATAGAGTCAGAACCCCACCCTTACCTTGGATTCAAGGTTGCTCTACGACTTTTCCGATTTAATTCCGTTCTTCCTCTTTTTCCTTCTTTTCTGCAACTTTCACGTTCTCTTCCAACCCTTATTTCTTTCTCTTCTTACTGCTTCTTCTTTTTCCTTATTATTTCTAAAAACTAATATAATAACCCTATAATTCTCACTATGTATTAATGGGCTTAAAACTCCTACACCCTCTTTTCTACTACTTTTATTCCTTAAAACAAGCCCACATCAAATAATATTATTCTCATATTATTCCACAACTTAATAGAATAATTAATTCCAATAACAACAACACATCAACTATTATAGTAACACAACTTCATAAATAATCCAAAAATAATAATTTAATTAAATAATTAATTAAATTACGTGTGTTACACAAGGCGGTCATCTTAGCCAAACGCTCTTGAGTATGATTCATATTATCTGTGAGGAAATAACAAATTATGATCAGTAAACAGAAACAATATGTCATGCATACAAAGCAATCAGATCGTAAATTAACTACCCAGATACGCCACATGAACCTCACTCTCAAGGAGATCCTTAACACCTATCAAATCAAGGTCATAAACCACCTTTCCTTCCTTTTCGACAACTGTTTTCCCTCCTTTACCCACACGCTGGACATGAGGGATCCCTGCAACAAATGCACTTAGACAGTTGAAACTAGCCTAGTCCTCGAGACCGAGCTGACCCTTCTTCCAGACGTAAATCTTTGTCCCATTATCGTAGTGCTTTTTGGTCCAGTGGAAAGGGAACTTGGGCACCAGCTTATTCATGTGCTTCCCTTCCTCGTTCAGGACAGGGGCCTCGTCCTCTTCATACGCTGGAGCAACCCTAAAGATATTCAACAGTGCCCTCTCTGAGACGGGCTGAATAAGCATGTATTTGTCCTTGAAGAAAGGAACGAATTCCAAATACACCTTGAAAATTTTTCCGTTCGTCTGCTTCAAAGAGACCCACCCGTACTGAACACCAAATGTTTGCCTTTGGAGATGAAAACAATGGAAGAATAGAGGAACAGTGTCCCTGATACTCAGATCCTCACACACGATCTCAAAAGCCCACAAGAAGGCGATCGAATTCGGGTGCAGCTAGGACGGAGCAAGACGAAGATGCCTAAAGACCGCCACCTGAAAATCCGAGAAAGGAAGTCGAAAACCCATCTCCCTGAACGGGATATGATACATGGGAAATCGTCGGGCTTCAAACGGCGAGCAGATCCGACTTTTCTTCCCGGGGATGTATATCGCCCACTGCTCCTCGCTCCCTCGCGCTCCATCTCTGGACCCATTGATGTAAAGATATCATCGGGATACTCGATGAAATGAGAAACATACTTCCACGGGCCCGGTGCAACCCAAGCCAAGGGACCCTCCTCGACCACGGGCGCACTTGGACCAACTCGGCCAGCAGGAGCCATCTCTATGTCTCCCTCGACGACATTCGCCCAGGCGATCCTGGATCCAACATGCCCGACTTAGACTCATATGCTTCTAAGGTACTAGTCTCATCAGACGTGCTCTGGGTGGAACTCTGGGTGGAATCACTAGTCTCATTCAGAAACTCATCGCTAGCAGTATCAGCCATTATACTTGAAAAATAAAGGATAAAAGTGAGTTCGACATCTAAGTCAAATCCATCATTTCACCACTAATCAAGTGAAAAGGCACTAAGGAACGAGGACCCTGTCCCCGACCAGAGGCCTCACTTAACAAACAGCCAGACAATCATCGCTCTCCCCGACTAAACGAGCTGGACTAACCTAGAAAACGGGATGAGAATGACAGAAATGGCCTGAATTCTCCAAAAAGACCATCTACATTCATCAAATGCCACCAGGATTCCAAAACTTCCCAGGGAGAACACACGACATAGCTGATAGTCTCACCTAGAGAAACCACCATCACCAACCAACACTCTGCCAGGAATTCTAAATGATAAGTTACCCTAAATCCTAACCGCATGCACTTCTAGGAGGAAAACTTCAAAATCTAAGCTATAACAGAAGTTAAATCCACAAAAGCAAGGGGAATTGAGAAACTTACCGGATCAAATAAGTTTCATTTATCTGTCCCTTCATTTATTAGCCTTACATAAAAAAAGATCAACCCCCTAAACTTCATTTATCTGCCAACCCAGGCTTGGAATAATCATTGACTACAATATAGGCCGACTTAGAAATGCCCTACTCCAAACTGACTCAAAGGAGGCCAGAAATTGAGAAAGAAAAAAGGGACATTTTTTTCAAACTATACCAAATAGAAAGAAGACCACCAATATTTTTCTTATCAGGTTTAAAACTATGATCACAAAAGGAACCCCTAAAGAGAATGGATAAGAGACTCAGAGACCTCTTGGAGTTTAGTGTCTTGGATGGCCACAAACAAAGAATCAGAAAGAATAATATTATTTACTTTCCTTCTTTTAATTCTTCCCCATAACCCCTTAATATTAATAAAAGACACTAATATTTATCCATAACCCTAGACAATCTAGAGGCTCTCTTATTTCAATTTCTCATTTCCAAAGCCATCTGATTCTCCACCTCAACCTAATCACTCAATAAAATCCACATATTACAACCCCATATTTGTATTATTATCATGGGTATACACCACATCCACTTAACCCATATTCATCACCTCATTATTCTTCCTACTACAATAATTATCATCAACAACTACAACCAACAGAAACATCCTCCATAATTAGAAGAGATTTTGAGAACCATTTGCAAGTGTCTCATTTCTCTTGTAAGAAAAGATCTAACAAAATATCTCAAAAATCCATTACATCCAAATACACAGTGGTTTATCCCAGCACCCACCGTCTCTCCCGAATTCACCTTCAATCAAAAACAAAAGAAACCAGTTCTCAAACATTTGCTTCTCATTTCAATAGAGAAGCTAAAATGTTTCCCCAATTCGGAGCGACGGTAGAATCTCTGAGCAAAGCATCAACAATGATATTCCGGATTGGTACCGATGTTCACCTATACGACGATCCCGAAGACATCAACATCGCCCCTCTCATCGACTACAAGTTCGATTCCAAGACTACAAATACTTAAAACTCTCTCCTTGTACCATATGATGAAGAGGATTTTAAAACAACCAAGTCACTTACCTCACCATAATCGCCAACGCTGATGACGTTTCCGACGAAGCTTCCTCTATTGAATTCTCTCAAGACATTTTGTTCGGTGAAATGGACAAAGAAATCTCTCTCAAACGCAAAGAGTTTGTTAAACAAGGTCTTCTCAAACCTAATCCCACCAAGGAGGATATTGCCTAAGTAGTTCACGAAGAACTTTAACCATACCAAGACGATGATGCTGAAGAAATTGAACGCCTCAAGGAACTTGCAGTGAATTCTAATGAAACTTCGGGATATTTCACTGAAGATGGTGATTTAGGTTCTAATTCTGATTCTTTGTTTGATTTATATTTTGAATGTTTTGTGAAGAGTAAGAAATCTAAAATAATTGAACCTAGGTTTCAAATGACTTTGGCTGATCTTTTAGATGAGAGTAAAATGGTTCTTGTTTCGTATGGGGATTTAGAAGTTGAAATTAATGGAATTCAACACGATTCTAGGCTTGTAATTTCTGGTAATTTGTTTGTGTGTTGTGTTGGAAGTAAAAATGACGGACACATGTTCTTGAGAGAGGCTGATAAAAGAGGATATGATGTTGTTAAGTTAACACTCATAACCGTTACTTCTCTACCTTACTTAAATTGAAGTTGAAAGCATCTCAGATGAATATGATGAAAGTGGTTTATCAGCAGCAAAAACCTTAGAGATTTACAAATAAACCTTTTGGAGAGTTGGATCAAAATTACTTTCTGAGCTTCTTCAAAAACTGTCTACCTCAAAAACTCCACCAAGTTGTGTTATCTTTTTTTTTTTTTTCCCTTGAACTCTTGATGTTGGTAAGAGCTTTTGGTTACTCGGTATGATTTTTTCACTCAATCTTGTTTTGTTAATAGTATATATTTTTAGACTCAGAAGTTTATTGAGTTAGCACTTTCAAAATCTGAGTATTTGTTTCCTGGATTGCATAAACTTGCTCAAGGGGATTTGCCTACCTTTTTATATATGTATGGATCTTATCCTGGATATTTTGACATAGTGGTCAATCAATTTGACAATATTGGTAAAGCTGATTGGATTCTTGCAAACTCAATCTATGAACTTGGAAAAGAGGTGGTGGATTGGTTAGTGGCGATATGGCCATTAAATACAATAGGAGCATCAATACCATATATGTTAGACAAAAGACTCAAAGAAGACAAAGAATATGGTATTAACCTCTCAGATCCAAACACAAAATTTTGCTTCAAATGGCTTAATGACAAACCAAAAGGATCAGTTGTCTATGTCTTATTTGGAAGCATTGTTGGTCTAAGTGAAGACCAAACACATGAATTTTTTGGATGTTTCGTGACACATTGCAGTTAGAATTCGACTTTGGAAGATTTGAGCATCGGTGTTCCCTTGATTTCTATGTCACTTTGGACCAATCAAGTTACTAATGCAAACCTTATCGTTGTGTTTGGAAAATTGGAGTTATAGTTGTTGCTGGCGAGAAGGAAGAGGAAGAGAATTTATGGCTCAATAACCAACAACCCGGGTCGGGGTTTACCAGTTCAACCGTCGTGATTTCCAACATGACTTATTTAACTCAGAGACATGTCCATGTTTTCTCTAAAGGCGATAACAACACCATTCAGTGTGTTAAGAATGTGACTTTTCTACTGAAGGCATTGGTTCTCGATGAAGTTGATCATTTACTAGACATGGGATTTCACAAAGATATTGAGAAAATAATTGGTGTCCTTTAGGCTGTTGGAAATATCACTGCTCAGTACATCAACACACACACACTGTTGCAAAAACACAATTATATCTAACTCTAACTGAAGCAAATACTAAATTTGTGATTGATTGAAGACGTGTGGCTGTTTCAAGTATGTTTAGAATTGGTTTTGTTGGACCGATCGGCCATTTCTAGTATGAAGGTTTGGACAAATTCATAAACCATAAGCTTCAACTAATTCCAAAGACTGTGCAATCCTTAGCAACTAAAGTTGCAATGGACGTCCTAATTTTTGGTCTAATACATCTGTTTGTCTTCTTCACGTATATGGGATTGTCTGTCGGCAAGACCATTCATGAGGTGAAGGAAGACTTGAAGAGGAATTATTTCCCAGCATTGGTGTTAGAAGGTGGTGTGTGGCCAAGTGTGCAGATTTTCAATTTTCGATATGTTCCTGTCAAGTACCAGCTTCTGTATGTAAACTTGTTCTGCTTATTGGAGAGTTCTTTCTTGTCATTGTTGGAACAACAGAAGGATGCACCTTGGAAAAAATGGTTTCAACCATTTCATTCTTCTAAGGGAAAAGCAGCTCTTACATCTACTGTGTGTTTTCGTATTAATTTAGAATCTTAAGGACAAGGTCCAATGTGAATCCGGCATCAATGATAGGAGGTGCAATTAGATATTTTAATTAGTAATATAATTATGTTAGTTGTTATTTTATTTTGAATGTTTTGTTGAATTGGGCTTTTAGTAGTGCTTGGGTCTTTAAGTTTATTATCCATCAGAAGTATTATATATTGTAGTCTTATTGAGACATTAGAGTATCAATCCAATGAAATAAAGTTTATCTTTTTATTTTAATTCTTAGTTTTTAGAGTTCTTCCCCTTTCATTATAGAAAACCTTAATTTCATAGATTTGATAGGAAACTTCCTATCAATTAACACCTCACACTTATATTTGGCACCCTCCCCCCATTTTTTACACATTTACGTTAATGCTTTCAATATATGTCGAAAATTTTAAAACTTACGGCACGAAACTGAAAATTTTAGTATAATATCGGGAATTTCACTCAATTTGTCAATTTTACCGTGACTTGTGTGTGATATCGGAAATTTTAAATTTCTGGGAAGTGCCAACAATGAAAGTATCAGAAATTTGAAATTTTTTATAAGTGCAGAAAAACCGGAAAATTGAAATTTCCAATAGTACTTAATGTTTTTTTTTTGCATTTTTTATAAATTTTTCTTAAACAAAATTAAAAGGTAAAATAGTTAGCTGACTTAATATATAAATTGAATAACTATCATACATATATGCATAAATAGATTGTGCCCATTTTAAAACTTCCACCGGGATTTAAAAATCTGTCAATTACAATATAAAATTAATAAACTTTATCAATTTTATAAATATCAGAAAATAAATAAAAATGTGTAAATTCAATAGGAAATATGCGGTGAAGAACTGCATAAAATCTATACATGAATCTGTAGAAAAAGGCTGAAGTTGACGGCTCTGGACCATACAAATATAAAATTTCATCTACAGACATACCAAAAATTTTAAGTATATGTGAAATTTATGTATTCCGAAATTTTCAAATTTTCGGTATTCCAAAAATTTATGGTTTTATGCTGCATACCGAAAATTATGAAAATTTCCTAAATATGTTATAATTTTATTTTTTATATCGCCTCGGAAATTTTGAAATTTCTGGTAAGTTGCTTCGGAAATTTTAAAATTTTTGATTATTTTCTATCAGAAATTTTGGTAATTCAAATAATTTCCAGTAAACGCACAATTTCAGTACCAGAATTTTGTAACAGAACTGACAATTTCTTTTTTCACCCTCTTAATCAATAGTAGATTTTTTTTTAACAAATATAAAATTCTTAGAAGTAAATAATAATATAAACATTTTGAAAATAAAAACTTATTAAAATATCAAATATAAAATAAAGGATATCAAATTAAAATCTCTCCACAAAGATATCTTCCCAAAAAAAATTAGAGAATTATTGTCTTACAAACGGGGAGATTGAAAGAATTTTTTTTTAAATAACCACTTTTTTCAAAAAAAATTCTCAAATAACCACATTTTCAAAAACTTTACCAAAATGACCACTTTTCAAATAAAAATATTTCACCAAACAGAGGAGTAGCCACTCTGTGTGGCGCATGCACTCAATTTAAAGAGGAGGTGCCACACTGCATGACTTGTCCTTCTCTGTAAAGCCATGCAGTGTGGCGCATGCATGTGGTTTTGAGAGGAGGCGTCACCCTCATTGGCTTGACAATGTAATTGCAATTTTCTATAAATACAACCACCCATCCTCTTCATTTTTCTACACCACTTGTTACATAACTCTTAGAAAATGTCTTCAACTCCCTTGCCAGAGTTTTCACTAATCAAAAGAGATGCGCATGTTATTTTTTTGGCGAAAAAGCCTCTGGTGAAGATCAAACTCTGGAACACACAGACGTTCGAGTATTTTCAGAGGCACTTGATTCGCTGGTTGGAAGGAGACATTCCTGAAGGTGAACAAATCATAAAAATAGAAAGGCACATCACAGTGAGGAACGAAAATGGAGTAAGCCGATCATGAAAAAAGGTGAGATGCAATGTTGATGTCATGATGATGATGCTTGGACCAGAGGATATTGTGTTGATGGTCTTTATCTCTTAGATATTATGATTTGTTTAGTTGTTTTGTCTGTTTATCATGTTGTCGTATTGTTGTCCTGAGTATGTGGTGTTGTAATTTTTTGTGTCGTGATGTGAAAGTTGTTATAATCGAATGATAAATTGAACACGAAATGATAACTCAAATTTAAATTGAAATATATTGCGTACAACAAATTAAATACTCTCGATAGTTTGCTATTAAAAAGTTATGTTGCAGAGCTAGACCCAATATTCAGATAATTTTTTCGATTATGTCCGGGAAGACGACATGTACCGCATAATCTTATCATTTTATTGGCCGTATCCATTTCAGTTCTAATATGATTTCTTTTCGGGTGCCCTTTTTTCTTCCGTCGCATTTGTTCATTGTGCCAAACAATGTCCCCTTCATAAGCAGGCCAGTAATCCTCCTTTGCCAACACGGAGAAGGTATTGATGTACACACTTAAAATTCTCTTTAACGTGTACACGGGGGATATATGTTGTATTGGGTCCAAGCGAACATGCGAACATGCCGCTATGACATGAGAGCAAGGCATGCGAAATGCTTGAAACTTTCTGCAATCACACCAACCTCTATCTAGTTTGACTCGATAATATCCCCTTGGCTTCCTCTCTTTATGATCCAGTGTCTCTTGTACACTGAACCAACCTTTAATACGGTCAAACACGGTGACACTATGGGTGTTTGCTTTTGCAGCCTCCTCGTTATATTTTTTCATCGTGCATTCACTGAACAACTGCCATGATTGTAACACTGCCCTCCATTTTGAACTTCTTGTGTCAAACAATGATCCTATTCTGAAATATGTTGCTCTAACCAAAGCGGTAATTGGTAGGTTTCGGATGCCTTTGAATACAGAGTTCAATGATTCCACCATATTTGTTGTCATGTGGCCCCATCATTGACCATTGTCAAATTCCCGAGTCCACTTCTCCACTGGAATGTTATCGATCCACCTTAATTCTTATGATTTTGCCAACCGGATTTCTTCGCGATAGTATCAGAATAATGATTTTGTTAAGGCATACCCTGCATTAATAACTTTCTTTCGAAGTGTCTTGTCTTTGATATGGAGCATGAAGTTTTGTGTGATATGTCTAATGCAATAGACATGTGTCAAAGGGGGATCCTGCCAACTGTTATCAGGGTTATTGTATGCACTCACAATTGATGGATGTCTTTCTGAAATCAAACAAAGGTTGGGTTATGGAGCAACGTGTAATCGGAGATTCTTCAGAAAGAATTCCATGCACCACTTGTCTCACCTCTAACTAGAGCGAAGGCAATTGGAAAAACATTATTGTTCCCATCTTGTGCCACTGACATGAGTAATGTTCCTTTATACATCCTGTATAACCAAGTTCCATCAATCTGTATAATAGGTTTTCAAAATGCAAAACCCTTGATGCGTGGTTCAAACGCCCAGAACAATCAATGAAATATTTTGTTCCCACTAACACGAGTTCTGTCTGGGGTAAAATCCGGAAGTGTCTCCAAAATTATAACACTTCCCGGAGCATAATATTTGAGTGCCACCAAAAATCTTGGAAGTTCTTTGTATGATTCCTCCCAATTACCGTACACAAGTTCAACTGCCTTAGTCCTCCCGATCCATGCCTTCCTGTAAGAGGGAGTATAATTGAATCTCGTAGTGATATGAGAAATAATTGTACTCACCTTTAATGATGGATCTTTGCTAATAAGAGGTAATATTTCTTGACATATTAGTTGAGAGCTAAGTTTCTGATGATCCTGTGTCGGAACGGTGGTGATGTAAGTGTGGAGTGGATCAATGGAACCTATTTCCCATGAATTACTTCTCTTCCTGTAAGATGCAGTTAACTGAAAAGGGAAAATTGGTTTTTGATGACATAAAATAACGTACCTCCCTGAATTATTTTTATCTACAGTGAAGTCAGCTAAAATTTCCATGTGGTATTTTTTGATAGCTCTAAGACACTCTTCTTTTGTTCGAAATTTGTCTCCAACTTTCAAGGCCCCTTCGGTCTGCATATAAGGATCGTGAAAGATATCTGAGGATGGTTCATCTTCCCCCAAAGTCTTGAGAAGGATCTACCACCTGAGATTGATCTGGTTGTTGTAATAAAACATACAGCTCAATCTCATCGAACCCGGATTGTTCATGAGTTCGAAACATGTTTTGAACATCATCATCGTCGCGCACCTTAAGTTGATAAAATTTGACTTGGTTGTTGTCAAATAGAAATGATGACTTGTAAAGAATTTGGTAAACTGGACCACACTGTAATTTGGATTCTACTCTATCTTTGAAGCGTGCAAAACTGGATTTCTTGTTTATCCGAAAGCGGATAAAATCGGTATTACGGAAATTAAAACCTAAGTTATCGCAGTTGAACATCTCACTGTTAATATGGGCAACAATAGTATAATTTTGTGAATGATACATGTTTTTGAGGTATGTTTTTTGTGAGTTATGGATGTATACTAGTAATGCAACCTACGCAGATGATTAAATAGATTGATATTATGCATGCATGTGCCACCCTAGGGGGCTAATCCTCATATTTTATCATGAATGTGCCACCCTAGGTGGCTTATCCTCCTCTTTATGTATGCATGCGCCACTTAGGTTGACTTATCCTCCTTTTATTGCATGTACGCCCCACCTAGGGTGGCTTGTCATTGAACAACAAAACTTGCATGCATGCCATCTGATCCCTGCCACGCTGCAGGTTTGCATGCATGCAAAAAGCAAAAAGCCATTTTGAATGGTGCCTATGTACAATAAAGTGAGCATGCGCCACCTAGTGTGGTGCCTATGTGCAATAAAGAAGAGCATGCGCCACCTAGTGTGGAGCCTATGTGTATAAGTTGCATGCAAAGTGTTCTTCAAGATTTTCCTATAAATACATGTAACATTCACCCTATATTTTCATCACAATCATAACTCATA